TTGTAATTATTTTAATTATTTTTATTTCCAAACTGATTTTAACCAGTTCTATAGTAAGGTAACATTCCAATAGACAATATGCAAAGCTTTTTTTTCAGTTTACAGCAGTATTTATTACACAAAATTTAAGTAAAGCTTAACATGCCGATCTTGCCCCGATCTCCCCTATATATATATAATACAATTTTTAAGCATCACTTTATTATTTTTAATATATTGGGGCCTCAAAAAGGTAAGTGGTTCGGACTTCTTTCGACCTCTGAAAGGCCAAAACACTTAAAGAGAAATACAGTCGAACCTGTAATAAACGGACACCTTTAAACTGCGGCCATTTTTATATGCAAATTAACCTCTAACCTCCGAACGACGACCATTTTTTTACGTTCCTGTCGGTGGCCGTTGTTTACAGGTTTGACTGTATAAGTATAAATGGAAATTACCTGTTCAGAATTTGATTGTTTATAACAGTTTCATCATAAACTATAAATAAATATAATTTATTTAATTAAAAGATTCTGTTCTTCCTAAACTATTTATAAATTCAAATTTAAAAGAAATAAAATATTTTATAAAAAACAAAAGCTTTCATTGTAGACTTGTAGACTCACTTGTATGATAGAGCTTGTTCTGTTCTGTCAAAGTTCACTTTTTATTAACATTGGCCAGTTGCCATCTTTGCTATAATGAAAATATAAGAAAACACTTTTTGAAACAAACGCAATGCAGTTCACTCATCTTACTGCAGAGATAAACTGCATTTACTTGTAAAAAAATAATAATAATAACCTGAAAATACTATTGTATATTTAATATATTTTATAATAAAACTTATAAATTTAACATTTTTAAAGAAAAATCAAATAAAAATCTTTATATTAAGTGCTTAATATTCAAGAAAAACTTTACTCTAATTTAATATTCTATCATTTTAAAAAATACAGTAAAACCTGTCTAAAACGGAAACCTTCCTAAACGGGAAAAAATTCTTACGATTTTACGTGTAAAAAAAATAACCTGTTTAGAACGGAAAAATGTCAAATAGAACAAAATATTCGGTCCGGTTTACACAGGTTTTAATGTATATTCAATAGTAAATTATATGAATATATATATAACAATGAATGTTTTATCATTTATAAAATAATTTAAAGATTAAAATTAATTAGAAATTTAATTAAATTTTCTTAATAAATACATAAAATAATTTTTTTTAAAAGTATTTTATTTCTTCTTCAGTTGTTTTCTTATGTCTCTATGACACTCTAGCGGAAGAGGAATGTCTTAAGGGTAAGCTCATTTTAATTATTTTAATTATGTATAGGTCTATATATAAAACATAAATTCATATATATATAAATACAATCAACAAGCATACAGAACGATTAGAATTTAATATAAAAAATTATATATAATTTGATTTTATACAGTGCCAAATTGGAAATTTTATAATACTGTATTATATAAAAATTTAACAATTAATCACTTTTATAATCATACATTCGTTGGTATTCGTCTAAAAGAACAACGCCCACTTTATACAATAATTTGGCCAAAAGCCGTATCGATCTTTACAGAGAAGCCGAACTCACCTGAAAGTGGGTCATGAAATTGTATCGTGTTGCAAGAACTAGGTCATTCATTTCTGATTAAAAAAAAATTCTGATTTTTTTTTACGGTTCACCCAGGAATTCGATAAGATTTAAATGCATTTCCCCCCCTCTGTGCACGTTTAGTTTCACGTATTACGTGGCACATAGTTGTATCTGTAACGATTTGTTAATATCGATTCATATATTGTCTACTCTGTTCTATTGAATGACTGTCTACTTTATTTTCTTCCTATTCCTCTCTCGTAAAAAAATGTCTGCTCTATTATCTTTATTATTATCATTTGAAAAGCATTAGGGGGTGAGCAAGTGTGGCAAAGTGATGTAAATGAAATCTTCCTTGTTAAAAATACAAAAAAAGAGGCATTGATTTTAAAAATTAAGAGATAAATAAATAATAATATGCAAGTAAATATATTAATTAATTTAATAAAATATAACTTTTTAACCACTTAATTTTATCACTAATATATTCAAGTATATGTCTGAAACTAACTGGGATTCGAACCCACGACCTTTAGATACATTCCGAGTCTCATACTAATAAATTAATAATTTATGTATCAATATCATTCCTTTATTAACAACGTTAATCACTCAACTAGTATAAAATCGGTAATAAATAATTAATTAACAAAATGAGCCTTTAAAAGTTTTATTAAATTGATTTATTTATAAAATGACCAATTTATAAGAGTTGTTATTTAGTAATTAAGCCATTGATGCTTGGGATATAACAATAGTAATACTATCAAACCTTTAAATAACGGCCACTAACGAAAACGAAAAAAAAATGACCGTCGTTTGCAGGTTATTTGACATGTATTTTAAAGTTCGAATAAATAAATTTTAATATTTTTTGTGTCAATGGGGAGAGTTTAAACCCCTTGGATCCGCATATCCATATCCTATAGGCAAAAAGGGCAGTTGTCTGGGGCCTCCGCTACCGGGGAAGAAAACATTTGCCTCATAATTCTTCCCAAAGAAAACACTGTACACGGGGGCCCACTAATTCAAATTCTCCTGGGCCCCATGAAGCAATATTTCCTAGAATATTTTAATTTATAATAATCTAAAATTATAGGTTCTGTACTAAAACTTACTTTTAACAAAGGAAATCATTTCTGAAAGATCTAAAAATTTTCTGTGCAGAAAATCCAATAAGAATTGATAGCTTTTCTGTAGATATCTTTTGATTGCTGATAGTATTTTTATTCTTTTTTTTTCTATAACAGAAAAATTCTAGATTGAACAAAGCTTATATATTTATTGATTATACAAGGTATATCAAAGACAATTCAAAATTTATTATTTCTATATAGGATTATAATATTATTTTAATAATATTTAAACTGTGAATTTCTCTTTTTAATTAATTTTGAATGAATTATTCCTTAAAGATAACATTTTCTTGTAAATATTATGTAATAAGCTTAAACATTTATAGAATTAATATAACCTACTTAACGTATTCTTAGATAGAAGTAAGTCTATTGTTATTGTGTATTATTGTGTACAGTACGTGCGTATTAAAAATTCGAAATACAATTTAATTTAATACACTCACGTTATTTGGTGGATACTTTTAGTTCGAGATATTTCTTAGCTAATTCTATCTAAGGAACAAATCCAATTGAAGGAGCATCAATTGTATCTCGATGCTCTTTAAGTTGGGGTGCTCCTATTTCTATCTAGTAGCTTCTTTAATCGGAGATGATCCTAATTCTATATTGATGCTTCTTCAGTTGTGATGCTCCTAATTTTATCTAGATTCTTCTTTAATTGTGATGCTCCCAACATTCAACGTGCTTATTTAAGTGATGCTTCTTAAACTTATTTATTCTTTGTCACTTTTTAAATTATATTCATTTCCAATTATCATAATGAAAAGCTCTTTTCGAAAGTGGGATGACTCTTAAATTCGTAATAATATGGTTTAATGTTAAATTCTCATTTATAAATATTGACATTTTCAGTGTCTATAGGTTAATTACATGGTTTTCCTGTATCGATGGAGAGTATTTTATAGGTTATATCCAGAAATCAATTTCAAACAAATATCCCCTTTAAATGAAAGTAAAATAAAAAGTATAAATCGATTTGTCAATTCTTCTTTCGTTTAAAGAAGACCTTTTGTCATTTATGACGTTTGAACATAAATTTTGAATTCGATTACTAAAATTTTTATCCAGTTGTTTTGTATTATTTCTATTTTTAAAGCCTTTTTTTTATTTCTATTTTTTTTTTAATTTCGTTGTAATATTTTATTCTGAATTGAATATAATGCTGGAAAGACTGAAAAATTAATATAATCTAAGAATTAAAAATATATTTAGAAACTTTTTAAAATAAGAATAGAATTAATAATTTATTTTTTAATGCATTAAATGTTAGAGTTAATTCTGGAGAAAATGGCTTAAAAATTTGTAAAAAAAAAAATAGTATATTTTTGATAATTTTGAGGGGATAATTATTCTATTTTCGTTGTATTAATGGGATATTTCTTTGGGATTTTCTAGGTTTTATTCGCGTGTCTAACATCTAAATAGGGCACAGTTCCCTACAGAAAATCCATATAGAAAGACACTTACCTCCCTTGTCAGATCGCCTATGTGTTGTATTGAATATGGCAATACAACACATAGGCGATCTGACAAGGGAGGTAGGTGTCTTTCTATAGGGATTTTCTGTAGGGAACTGTGCCCTATTTAGATGTTAGACACGCGAATAAAACCTAGAAAATCCCAAAGAAATATCCCATTAATACAACGAAAATAGAATAATTATCCCCTCAAAATTATCAAAAATATACTATTTTTTTTTTTACTACAAANGAACACATCTTAAATTGATTCTCGCTAAGTTCTAGTCTTTTTTTGTGTGTGTGTGTGAAGCATAATTTAGTATTTATATTGAACTTTGAAGATAAAATTGATCATATTCTTACATTTAAATACGTATTTAGCAACCACTAAATAGTGGTTTGCGGTAATGCTCATGGGTTCGTGCCTAGTCATGTGGGATTTTCTAGGTTTTATTCGCGTGTCTAACATCTAAATAGGGCACAGTTCCCTACAGAAAATCCATATAGAAAGACACCTACCTCCCTTGTCAGATCGCCTATGTGTTGTATTGAATATGGCAATACAACACATAGGCGATCTGACAAGGGAGGTAGGTGTCTTTCTATAGGGATTTTCTATAGGGAACTGTGCCCTATTTAGATGTTAGACACGCGAATAAAACCTAGAAAATCCCACATGACTAGGCACGAACCCATGAGCATTACCGCAAACCACTATTTAGTGGTTGCTAAATACGTATTTAAATGTAAGAATATGATCAATTTTATCTTCAAAGTTCAATATAAATACTAAATTATGCTTCACACACACACAAAAAAAAAGACTAGAACTTAGCGAGAATCAATTTAAGATGTGTTCAGTCAATTATTACTGTCACGAATCGCAGAATATAAATTACTAGTTGAATTATCCTTAAACAAAAGTATATAAAAAAATTAATTAAATATCAATATAATCAATTATAAATGTTAATTTGTTTATCTCTTTAAACCATTACCGATCTCAGTTTGATAATGAGTAATCAATGGAGGCCCTACATAAAGGCGATAACTAGGCCTTCGCGCTTTCAGAGGCCTCACAAATTTGGTAGTATATTTTAGTAGTTAAATCATCAAATTAGTAATAATTATTGAAAACGTAATTGCATCTGCACAATAATCATTTTCAATGTTAAAATTGATCAAGTACCACTTCCAATTAACAATGTGTCAAGAAAGACTTTCTTCACTTTCGATCTTCTCTATTGAAAGAGATACTACTGTAGAACTAGATTTTTCCACAATAATTGATGAACACAACACTGCTAAAAGCAGAAGAGTAGTTTTTCTAGATGTATTCCTATACCCCTATTGAATCTTCCAATTCATTGTAAAACTACTTTACACGTTAATACGTTGTTCTACTGTCTATTTCTGTATTAAAAGTGTACATATGATACCTCTATCATTCTTTTAATGGGCCTCAAAAAATAAATTTTACGTAGAACCTCCTCCTCTGATGATGATGATGATAACTTGGTTATCGTTACACCATTACAAATCGAAGCGAGTAATTGTGTAAAAAAAAAAAAAAAAGCGGTGGTTCCTAAAAATAACTTAACAAAACTACTCCTGATGAGCATTTGAGTTACAAATAAAACTCTAACCGGCTATCGTAAAGCTAAATTTAGCGTAACAAACGTGACGCCAACGAAAAAAAAAAAAATATATATATATATCTTATTAGTTACTTTAAACTGTTTTCTATTATTTTCTATTGATTTCTTCTTTACATAACACACGTATTATTAATATTATTTCATATAAATATTATTTATGCATAGGTATATTTCAAAAATATCCAAAATTATTTGTCTTCTCTTTAAAACCATACATAAACTACAGTAAAACCTTCGTTAACGGACACTTCCGAATAGCAAAAACCTCCAATTAACGGAAACTTTTACCCTTCAAATAGGATATTTATTATATTAACCTGTAAATAGCGACGGTGTCCGCTTTTCGAAGGTTATACTTGATTTTTAAGTACAGTCTGATGTTTAGAATGATATAAATCAATACTTTTACATTAAATTTTTACGAATATTAAATTTAAA